GCGAGCTGTATCGCGGTATACTGAGCTTAGGGTAACGGGAGGACGCTAGTTTGTGTCCTCCCGTTACCCTAAGGAGAACTATGGGGAAAAACACTGACCCCATAGTTCTCCTTTAAGGTTAGGTTCACACCTAGGCGATTCAGATGCTAAGCTGTTTTCGCGTGACTGTCGCATGTTTTCGATCGTGCGACTTTTCATTGAAAAGAGTCCGTGTACCCATCGCACTCAGAACCGCTGCTCCATGAGATAAGAAGTGGGTGCAGCAGGTGCCAACGGGTGGCTTAAGTCAAAGTTTAAGTAAAGGATGGACACCAGCACTCCAAAGCAAATCCGGTACGTCTATTTATTCACATACTTGTTGCAAATGCAAAACACAAGATACCACGTTTCGGGGTCTCACAGGATCCCCTTCATCACGCAAACAGGCCAATCACTTGTTTGCCTGATGAAGGGGATCCTGTGGGACGCCGAAACGAGCCTGATGAAGGGGATCCTGTGAGACCCCGAAACGTTGTATCTTGTGTTTTGCATTTGCAACAAGTAAGTGAATACATTTGGAGTGCCAGTGTCCATCCTTTACTTGTTCATTGTAAACCACGCAGTTATCAATGCATAGATATGTCTATGGGACCCAAACCACGTGACAACCGCCTGAAAATCGCTCCTGCACCTTTACTCGCGACAGGCGATTTTATCCGCGCGACAAACGGCAATGGTGTGAACAGACTCCATTGACTTCAATATGAATCTGTGTTTTGCGCGATATCGCGTGACCCAATCCACGCAATAAATCGCCTAGGTGTGAACCTAGCCTTAAACAACGCGCCCTTGACACTGGCATTAGGGGTTTTCCAAAGATAGAGCACAGCAGTAGAAGTTTGCTTTCAGACTATTTTTCTCAAAATGAAACTCTTTACTGCGCTGTACAGAGAAGCGAGGCAAAGGAAGAGGGATGAATCACTCTTCTAAAGTTTGTGTACTTTCACAGCTGTGTTTGTAATCTGAGCTTCAGCTGTTGAGCTTTTTTTTCAGCAAAGAGGCTTAGATCGGTGTAATAAATGCAGGAAAAAGAGCATAGCTTCCGCTGATGAAAAGCAAAAAAATTAACGCATATTTTTAACACTTTTATTTTGTCCTGAAGAGGGTATGTAAACACTGGGCAGCACAGTGGCTTAGTGGTTAGCGCTTCTTCCTTCTAGAGTGGAGGTTATTGGTTCAAATCCAAGTTAATTCTCCCTGTACTTGTGTGGGTTTCTGTTAATTGGCCCTGTATGCATGCAATAGGGACCTTAGATTGTAAGCTCCTTGAGGGCAGGGACTGATGTGAATGTGCACTGTGTTAAAATTGTTGGCGCTATACAAATACATGTAATAAAAAAGCTATACTTTCCCTTTAAGCTCCACCTCTCTTACCAGTTAGGCCCCACCTATTCCATTATTAAAGGGAACCTGTGCTAAGAAAAAATACAGGATCTGATATTGCTAGTTGCCTGCCTGTCATGCCAGATAATGCTGCTCTCTCTCCTTGTACAGCAGGGGTGGGGAACTTCCGGCCCTGCAGCTGTGGTGAAACTACAAATCCCATGAGGCATTGCAAGATTCTCACAGCCACAGGCATGACTCTCAGAGACGAATGCATCATGGGATTTGTAATTTCAACACAGCTGGAGGTTCCCCACCCCTGTTGTACAAGTCTTGTATCCGCCTGTCGTTTTCTATAGTGGATGGAGCCTTCTGGGCCCCTCCCACAGCTCTGCTTGCTGTGCAGTGCAGTGATGATGTCACTACTATCTTTACAAGGTATTATCTGCTTTGGCAAAGGCATTTGGTGCACACAAAGTGGTTTATGTATATATATATATATATGCATATATATATACGTTGTAACTATTGAGGAATATATTTAGATTAAAGTTTTTGTGTCGCTTTAATACAATTTATCCTATACTTGATTTTATCTAGGCAGTCATTTGGCAAGCATGTCTGATACATCTACTAATGCGTATACAAACAATATGGTAGAACGAGCAAGCAAAAAGTCATGTGAAAAATGTGTATCAACAACTGGAAAATAGCACTCATGGAAAACACACTGCGGCTCCCTTTTAAGGACTGGTTCACTTGGGTCACTCTTCCTTGTAATCTTTCATAAAAAGTATTTATTTTAGGTGAAAGGAGTGACAGATGTTGTACAGTAGAAAAAAAAAATCAGATAAATGGTTTCTCGTACACCCCAGGGTCAGATATTACACTTGGCTCTTATTGAATGGAAGCCATTATTACGACTACAGAGGAATGAACAGCGAAAAGAAAATTATTATAGAACTGAATACTTTTGTATCAAGGTTTAACTTCAGAACAAATTCCTGAAATTCCCCAAATCACAAAGTGAAGAAGCCAACGGAGCTGCCTAGCTGAGTCAGTTTTATAAGATGCCGTGCAGGCAGAGTATGGCAGAAGGTTGGACGTTTCTTGATGAGGGATGGCATGTACATGGCCCAGAAAGAGAAAGAGATGATAAATATGAGACCACCCACCACACAACAGGTACTTTGTTACGCCGTGTCTACCCGAATACAAGTGACCTTCTCTATATCATGTACCTCCAGCCAAAACGTTTTTTAAAGCTGGAGACTTTATTGGGGTATTAGCTAAGTACCGGCAAGGTCCCTATGATGATGTGTGGCCCCCGATGGTGGCTGCTGCTTCTTCTTTCTTGAACAATTGTAGTTCCATGCAGCCTCTGATGATGTGTGGCCTCGATGGTGGCTGCTGCTTCTTCTTTCTTGAACAATTGTAGTTCCATGCAGCCTCTGATGAAGAGTGGCTCCAATGGTGGCTGGTGCTTCTTCTATCTTGAACATTTGCAGTTTCATGCAGCCTCTGATGATGTGTGGCCCCCGCTGGTGGCTGCCCCTTCTTCTTTCTTAAACAATTGTAGTTCCATGCAGCCTCT